TAGGTTCTGCAGTTCACTTACACACTGCAACAATGGACCAGCAGTGTCCAGCATACAATAGAGTCATGTGAATATGTACCGTATGCATACTCACAGCTGCAAGGCCAGCGCCCCGTGGCTGCTTGACTTCTCAATCGATATAAATTTTCACAACAGTAAGACTCTGTGATCAATCAGAGCTGTGCTTCGAAGTAGTCACAAATGCCCCATGATCAGTCACAAAACAAAACTTTGCAACCAGTCACAGCTTCCACGGTGCCCCAAGACCAGTCACCAGAAATGACCGTGGTAAATCTGCAGGGAGTTCCATAATCTGTTCATTGCACAGTTCACTATGCTATGATTCAAGAGGGGGGGGGGGGGGGGGGGGGGGTAGCGTTCCTGCGGATGCGGAAAACTTGGCTGGAACCCGAGTGTCACGTGAACCCTGACTTTTATTATTTGTTTTACGATGAGCCTATTATACGCGATACAGGCTCAGAACACACTTTTCATCTAGTTGGCATATCAGGGATATAGGGCGGAGCAGCCCATATCCCCAATTATGACACGCGAGTAATAGTGAAATACGATTGGCGTATTGTGCTGGACTGACTGCGGTAATGTAAAGCTAAAATAAAGCAGTCAGTTTGCCCTTAGCATGGCCTTGTCATGAGGGTGCCACATCCGTGGAAAGGCAACATGCCGGCTAATCTCCCTGAGAAGTTGAGTGGTTATCAGCAGGCGATGACGCTGTGTCGATGATGACCTGTTGATGCCCGACAGGAACCTTGCGAGGAGAGTTATTGGGCCTGACGGGTAGGTAAAGCCAACTTCCACATGAAGTTTGCGGATGGCCGACATGTAGACATGAACAGATCGGGGCTGAAAAGTTCTGAACAACTCGGCAGCAAAATAACACATAAAGTAAAAAGTCATCACCTGGCAATGGATTCCAGTTATGCCCTTGACAGAACTGGAAGTAACGGGTATCGGCAGAAAAATATTTCCGGCTGGTGCCAGTGCCGCTAGCTGCAGCACGGAGTCCGGCAACTGAGAGTTGGCAAGACTGGCTGATCTGGCTCAGCTGCTGCTTCCGGAGCCCTCGATGGTTCAAACACCATCGGCGCAGGCCACGTTTTTCGGCACCGACGATTTGTTCGTCCACCAAAAGTCGAAACAAATGTTTCTCACTTGAACACTCCGTAGAGCTGCCGCTGTTATGCCGAGGCCCATTGGCGCATGGTGTGTATACTCCAAATCTACATGTATGATGATGGGTCACTGCTGACGTTTCTGCTCTTGGACAGTGCAACGCCGCATGAAGATATGTTGTGGCTCCACAATCGCTGAGAACGCTAGTGTGCGTCCATGGAATACTAAAACACAATAGGCGCGGCGCAGCTAACGCCCACTTGGATGAATCGGAGTGGTGGCGAGTGCATTCTCCTTCCTCGGTGAACACTGCTGGTCACCCTGTTTGATGATCCACCAAACACCATCGGTGCAGGCCGCGTTTTTTCGGAACCAGCCATTTATTCGTCCACCAACAATAGAAATTAATGTTTCTCACTTGAACACTCTGCATGATCTGTAGAGCTGTCGCTGTCGTGACAAGGCCGTGTATACTCCAAGTCTACATGTAGGATGAAGAGTAACAGTTACTGCTGATAATTAAGTTTGCGCCCGTGGACAATACAACGCTGTGTGAAGTAAATTGTGGCTCCACAATCGCTCTGAATGCTAATGTGTGTCCATGGAATACTAAAACACAATAGGCGCGGTGCAGCTAACGCCCAACGTGGATGAAACGGACAACAGCAGCGACTAGTCTAGAGCGTTCTCCTTCCTCGGTGAACACTGCTACAACTTTTGTACAAGACATTATGCTGGATGATTCACCAAACACTCGTTGGGGGCCAAGTTTTCCGGCGCCAGCGAGTTGTTCGTCCACCAACTAAATTTGATGAGTCTTTCTTCAACACTTCGTAGAGCAGCCGCGCAAGGCCTTTCCTTCGCGTTAGGGTAGCGATCCTTCCTAGATGATATCGCTATTCATTGTTACTTTTTACTACAATGAGTAGTGTTTCTCCGAAAATAAAGTCAGCTGCCTGGGCATTGATTAGGCATTAGTACGAGTCGTACGCGCTCGCGGTCCGCGGACGTGTCAGTGACACGTGAAACGAAAAGATTTTTTTGGCGGGTAGTCGGCAAAAATTAAGTGACGGTCCCTTTAGGGCCTGGTCAGACTGCGGCAAATTTTGGTTGCCTGACGAAAACAGAACAGCGTCCAGAATTTGAATCGCGATCACACTACACATGTGGGGAGAGTGAAAATTCAAACTTCATTTGGAGCGTCAAGTGGTAATCTCCACGAACGACGTCAAATTCCTTCACCTTGGGGATCGCCAACACCTTCAGTGCAATCCTTGCAACCATCCTTATGAGTTTTGTTGTTGTCCGTGGCCAATTAGCTCTTCGATATCGAGATGAAAAAATCAGTGATTATCAGCGTCAATGGCGTATCAGCGTCAAATCCTGTTTGGAGCGGAAAAGCGTGGTCCGTTCTTGCTTTTTTTTTGGAGCGTCAACTCTCGCTTTTGCCGCTCTGGCGGCAAGTTACTATGGAGATTCGGATTATAATCCAAGGATTATTTCGATTTTGCCGCAGTCTGACCAGGCCCTTAGTCCTTCGCTATTGCTACCAGGGAGTAGTAAAATACAGGGAGGTGACACGAGCATGTACGGCCAGTTTGACGATTGCCTCAGCACCGTTTTCACCCGGCGGGTGAGATTGGGGTACTATGGGTACCGAAGTGTGTAGACACGCGCGCGGATCAGGATTCTCTCGATCAGGGAGTAGTAAAATACCTACCGCCAAAGAGACTCCTACTGCAGCCCGTAGAAACTCAGCGCTGAGAATTTCCAACAATTGTCTGCCTTCACAAAGTTTGGTAGTCGACCAAACTACCACTATGTCAGGATAGAAGTCCAGCAAGAGTGGTATCACTTTGCGAGATATCCCTGCGCGCCGTAGATTTTTCCTGTGTCGATACAAGCTGTTTACGACGACGTAGCCCGCATTTCAATCCTTGACAAACTTAGGAACATTTCATTCCGAAAAGTGAACTCCCGAATCTCTAGCATACCTTAATATGAAATGCTCATCATCACAAAGAAGGTAGAGAAGTACTGGTTGATCACAACTGAGGAGAAATTAGGGGCGATCGTGTGGTGTCCTAGAGATTTTTTCGACTTCAAAATCTGTGCACTCGCTTTTCATCTCCAATCGTACACGTATTGTTCTCAAGGAAATCACCTTCCTTCTATTGCTCCATGCCGTCGATCGGTACGATTTTCGGAAGGGTGGTACCTTTCCATATGACGATGACACAGATGTATCACAAGAGCAAAACAAATGCTGTTCCATGAGATGGATATAGACCTTTTCACGGAATTAGTTCTTCGACAAATACTCCAGATTGATTCAGCAGATCATCTTTTTTTGCGAAAGAAAAAAAAACAAGCGCGAGGCAACCATCAAAAATCACGATTAGTGGCGTGTCACCTCCCTGTATTTTACTACTCCCTGATTGCTACCGTATTTTTCCGTATCCATTGACCACGGGCTTTATCGGCTCATCAAGGCCACCGCGGGAACGTCGCTCATTGGCTACAACCATAGAAACGGTACGGTAAAAACCTGAAACAGGTATCGAGTCGGGAGTCGTCAAGTACGAGGTGATTCGTCATTATAGGGCTTGAAAGTGATGACGTCAAAACGGCCAGGGAGTAGTAAGTTGTCATCAGATTTCTATTTTTGGATCCACTAAGGTGTGACTTTGCTATTGCCTAAGTATGTGGGTGCATAGCAACCCACTCATGTCGCATGCAGGTGTGACTTTTATTTCGCCACCAGTTGTAACCCCGCCCCCAGTAGCCAAATCAGTCAGTTTCACTGGTTACATCACCTTGCTGAGAGTAAGACGGCTTGAAATGTGCTTGGATCCATACAAAAGCTGGATCCAAGTGGATCCAATTTTTGAATTTTTGAAATTGTTGCTATGCTGTGACGTAGCACTTTCAAGCCCTATTTAACACGAAAGTAAAAAAAGCCTTCCGTAGGGTTCGAGGTGTGAATCTTTCCATTTCTTCCTCTAAAAATGTAATACTGACGGTCCTTGGATTGCACGCCATGTACACACACCCACAACACTGCAATGGCACGGGGTATGGTGGTGGTGTGAGTGAATATGGAAGTCATCACTCGCGCTGTAGCTTTTTGAGATTTATTCTAGTATTTCAAGATCGCCAATTTATTTGAATTTAGCAGTCAACGCCGTCTTCTATCTGCAGCGTTCACAAGCGTCTGCTTTTCTCAAAATGTCGTCGAAGTCACACGGATAGCTTTGCCAAGTCATGGCCTTGGGAATGAGTCCGTGTCGATGTCGTTTTCGTCACACGGTGAGTAAATTGCATCGCAGCTCAAAGAAACTATTTTGGTCACAAAACGAATTGGGACCCATGCCGCTCGTCAACATTTACAACACTTTCGTTCGACATGTCCTCTCTGACTCCATTATCGATACGAGGAAGAACTCGTTTGTTGTAAACCAGACGACAGACGTACAACCGTATATTAGTACACAGGGTACGATCTTACAATGTCATGTCGACTGTATCAACGTGAGTGAGTTGTCATTTTTCCTGCTTTCGCGCGGAATATTTCTTCGAGTTCACAGTGAGTTTTTCCAGGCAGCGCTCGAGTGCTCATACGGTAAGACGCCAAACTCCGCGGGCGATCGCCAGGATTGCAAATCTTTTTGAAACGGACTGTAGGCTTTGCAAATTTGTAGCAGGGAGTCGTAAAATACCTGCTTTGTAGCTGTGTGTGTGCGTGCGCTTTTATTTTTGCGTGCAGAAATTCTGTGTAAAAAAATCTATAACTCAAAATCAGGCGCGAACGGCTCTGATTGGTCGATCACAGAAGCGGGAGTGCTTGAAAGACAACATTCCGAGGATCTTGTTGTTGTTCGGCAAGCGTTGTTGACTCTGGCTTCCACGAAGTAAAAGAGCAATACATTCCGCTTCTTTCCGCCGTTTCCTCTGTAACAACTGTATCGTCGAAGCATTCCTAAAGAAAAATGTCTCGGGATCCTGATGTTGTAGAGACAATCGTATCCCAAATCGGGGGCAGAAAGCTCAAGGTGAGAAAGCTTCGCAGATGCCACCAATTCCCGTATGCTGCTCCACGTTGACTTTATCTTCCATCCATGCCCCCTATTCCCCCGTCTTTAGATTGCCATCGAGGGAAATATATCAAGTGGAAAGTCAACCCTTTTGAATCATTTTCGTAACAAATCCTACTGTGATGTTGTTGAGGAGCCAGTGGACGCATGGAGAAACCTTGGAGGAGATAACCTTCTGGTAAGATTTTATCAAGTGATACATGCTGCATGTCACCGTTTGTCTAGCCAATGTCCTATTTCTCCCTTTCTTCCTCACTAAGGCCTGAACTAGCACTACATGTGGTGTCACTACCGGGCGTATTGTGGTCCATCTTACATTTGTTGTGTCTGTTTATCTGTGACCTTTCCTTGTGCAGTTACTGCTAGATGTAATAATAAATGTGCCATGACATTTTGATTATTTACTTTTAGAGTGAAGTTGAACCTATGGAGTGTAATAAGCAGCACTGAATTGTCTCCAGGTCAAGGAGTGCTGCAGAATCGGCGATATTTGTCATGAAACACACACTTGTTATCAGGCATACCTATTCGGACCCCGGAATTACGGGCGCTTCGGTCTACCAGGCACCCTTTCGGCGAGTTTCAGTGGAAATATTACTACTCCTTTGTTTGTGGAAATAGTGACGTCATATGTCATATCTATGGCCTTTCCCCATCTAAATGTATGTGATTCGGAGTTACGGATGTTTCAAAGTTACATTCCCAGACCACCCGGCTAAGCGAGGTGCCTTTGTTTGTCCACATGCTCTGTGTTTGCACAGGCACGCATGTATGAAGAACCAAGCCGCTGGAGTTACACCTTTCAGTCATATGTTTTAAAAACAATGATGGATGTACACAATAAGCCACAGGTACGTTGTTCATGTCATTGAGTGTTTCACAGTGCGTGATGCCCTATGTTGTTTTCGGCTGCTTCCTATTCACCTTGACGTAGTGCTTTGCATCCACTAAATGGCTTTCCTTATGCCTTCTCTCCTGCTGTGTACAGGATGTTCCCCTTGGTATTCTGGAGAGGTCGATATACAGTGCGCGCTACTGTTTTGTTGAGAATCTTCATAGCAGGTAAGCTGTTGTCACAAGCTGTGTGATTGGTTCTTTTTCCGTTCTTCTCTCCATCTTTATTCTGCCTGTTGCTGTATTCTGCCACTGTTAGCACTGTGTGCCTGCTGAATGTTGACTTCTCCATGTTCATATTCAGCATTCACTGAGTGATGTTGCAGTTTATCTACTTACTACATGTGCATGGTGCGCGGGTCACTTTTGAACGTTGGGATCATTTGCTATCGGTGGGTGGATGTGTAATTCAATTCATTTCAATGCAGTTCGATCCATGTTGTACAATTTCCGTTGTCTGTCTGCATTTTTTAGTGGTCTTATGGATGATATGGAGTACAAATGCTACACTGAGTGGTTCGACTTTCTCATGGCCAAAAATCGGCCACAACTTGATTTAATCGGTAAGAAGTGGTTCCTTGCTGGCCTTGTCAAATATATGTTGGTGTCTGAAAATTTGGTTTTGTTGCCAATCATTTTGCTGCATTGTGACTTTGTCCTGTGTGTGTTTTTTCCTTTTGTCTTCTTCTTCTCCCTTTGTTATATAGTTTACCTTCGCACTTCCCCTGAAGTTGCTTATCAGCGTCTCTTATCGCGTGCTAGAGAGGAGGAGCGCACTGTTCCCAAGGAGTACGTGTATGCTTTGCATCGGCACTACGAGACCTGGCTTGCTGATTCATCCAACCACTGTTGGCATGGCAGCACACCTGTTCTGGTGAGTACATGTACCTGTGCTGTCGGCTGAACAAATGTGTGGTTATAATGTGTGTATATAACAATGTCTATGGGCATGCATACTGTGTGCGTGGATGGGTGGGTCATTGACACCGACTCATTGTTTGTTGTTACGAGTGTACTCTTGTCTTAGTCGGTAGAGCATGAGACTCTTTTGATCTCAGGGTCGTGGGTTCGAGCCGTTGGGCGCCAGTGTTGCAAAAGACGGATCCACGAGCGGGATTCGAACCCAGCACCCCTGTCTTTCCGTGACAGTGCCCTACCGATTAGGCTGCCGGGGATCACACACACACCCGTGGGTCCTTCTTGCTACACTCTGACTATCTGCTGTTGTGTGCGCTTGCTTTGTTCCTGTATGTTTGTGTAGGTCCTGGATGGAAATCAGGATATGAACAGCTATGAGTTCTTGCATTCTGACATGATTGAACAGATCACCGCATTCCTTGGAGATGACAGTGATGAGGAGGATGACACTGACGACCTCGATTTTGACCTCTCTCAGTACCTTACTCAAACTCTACCTGTGGATGATGCATCCCAGTGGCCAGCAGCACCTCTAGCTGCACCTCTTCCAAATCTAGTCTCTGCTTCCGCATAAGCAAGCACCTGCTCGTGTTGAAAACGCGTCACTTACGCTGATTTTCCCTCATTGATCTCTTGTCATGGTAGCAGCCCGTTACCATCCTTCATTCCGCATCATTTCCTTCCAACTTCGAATTTCAATGGACAACTCCTCATGGATAAATCTTCCTTCATTCTCTCTCTCTTTCTTTCTCTTTCTGTCTCTCATACACCCACACACACACGCTATTGTCGCCTGGATTATGAAATCATCTGACTTATCGAAACTGACCAATTGCCTCTTTTAACTATATGCCTCTACTAGTTGAGGTTGCTGTATCTGTGTTTTGTCTTGTTTAGTCCCGTAACACTGTGTTTTTTAACACAGTGTGGATGTTTTGTTGATTTTTCTCCTTGTTGAGAGTGGTTTTTAACTTTTTACCACAGGCTGTAGTGCTTGCTACGCGCATCACTTCTTTCGGGCTTCCTGTCCCAAAACCGCAAACTGCTTCATGTCAGATATATGAAGCCGTTGAGATTTTACTTTTTAACCTTGCACATGGAGACATGTTTTCCTCAGAGCACATATCTTAACACATTCAAGACATGCTGCTCAATTTGTCACTTGCTCTTGATTTTTGTTTTTTGTTTTCACTCTGCAATGTTGGTTTTAGACCGTGGCTGTGTCAAATGAGACAGTCCACCCCATCTCTCCGTTCTCTTGTTCTGACACGAGTGTTCCGAACTTCTGAGCTGCCAGGGTGAAGCTGTCCTCTCGATAGTTCATGAAGCCATGGTCTATTTTAATAGCAAGAGCAATAACAACGAATGCTTGAGTGCTGTGCTGGTATAATATAGATACCAGTGGCTGTGTTCGATTATGCACTTAAAAGTGCATTAAAGTCGTTCGATTTGCATGTCTCTCTGGAATCAAGAGTACATAACCCCCTACTCTTGCTGGAATCTATTCACCTGGGGTTTTTTTTTTTTTTTTTTTTTATTTACTTGAAAAAGCACATAACCACCAGGAAAGCTGACAAAGGAAAAAGAGTAAGAAAAGACAGATAAAAAGAGAGCTGAGAGAGAGAGAGAGTTGGGGTACGGTTAGGGGAGGACTAGACATTGAATGGTGGTCGCCACAGTCACAGATAGTAGCAGTGCTGGTGAGGCTACACGGGGTGATGTCAAGAGTATTATAAACCTTGGTGATGTGAATAGCGCGAATCGATTCGCGGGCATAATCTCACGCACTCACTGAGTGTGCATCACCTCAAACGACTCTGGCCCATGGCATGTACGTGATGTACCGCGTATACACGTGTTCAATTGAAGGAAACATTTCAACCTCAATCTACAGTAGAGTCGCGCGCTGAAGAACGTGGAGCCCAGGGAGTCGTACTCAAACTAGTTTGAGTACGACTCCCTGGTGGTGGACAAATCACCATTTGACACTGCAGAAAATATAGACTATATTACAGTCAGACCTCGCTTAATTAACCGCACACATCCGTTTTCCACAAAATTATCCGGATAGGCGAGGGCACCGGATAATCGAACACACATACTGTACATGTATGACATATGCTGTAAATCGGTAACCAACGATTTTCTTCCGCATGGCAAGGGATACGGATAAAAGAGGACCGCATACGCGAGGTCTGAGTGTATTGCAAGGAAACATGTGTGATGCATTGACACCGGTGCAGTACAAACGTAAATCACTCGTGCAAGGAGCATTGCATCATAAAAATGATGTCCACTTGAAATTCTGCTGGGACAGCACTGTTACTATATGCCGGAGTTGCACACTCTTGGAGGCTATGCACTCTTGCCTCTTTCTATCTCAATGAGAGAGGTCAGAGATTCAAAAGAGCAATCAAGAGTACATAACTTCCAAGAGTATGCAACTCCTGCTGTCCCGGCCGAATTTCAAGTTGACGCCACGCACATACCCACTCCTGCTAATGAAGACATGAATCACAGCTATTATATTTGTACAGCTGCTTCACAGCCTTTAGATGATTGAAAATCATACTAAATATTATAACAATGGGCCTGTGCAGACAAGATCTCAGGCCAGATCATACAGTCATGGACAAAAAGCATGCAACCACTGGTAGCTGTGGTACTAAAGAACTCTAAACCGCCAAACTGTATTAGTAGCTTTTCTCCGAGCTTGAAGCGGCTTCATGAGGCAATGTAGTCAAACAAAGCAGAAAAAAGGTTCCTGGATGGAATAATAATCTCAACACATTCAACGAAGTAGCACACTGTACCGTTGTAGGGCTAGGATATGAGAACCCAATGCACACTTGAAGCTCACAGGCACACAGTGGGCAGTGGGTGACAGCACGAATACCGAGGCTTTCCATTTCATTGGATTCCAAGTACTTCAGAGTACTTCAGTGCTGGGTGGCTTGCTACACCTTTCCAGCATGAGCGTCACCACTGGTGTGTGCTTCAAGATTGAACGAAGACAATTCGATGAACCCAATACGAGTATGAACAGCATTACAACTGGTAAGGTCATGCTAGGTCTTGCATTGTCAGCAAACGAGACGCTGATGCGGAGCTACACACCACATTTCCAATATTGTCTTTTTTTAAGCAATAGATGAAAAGCAAGAGTGGCATTTAAGGAGCTTTGTAAGCAAATGTCATCTTCCAACTTTACCCAAACGCTCATCCGTTTTCGGGTTTGCTGTTATTGTCTGCACTGTCACGATGATCTCATTGATGCTTGTCTGCAACTGACGTAGCTCAGCAATGTGCAGCAAACGCAGCACCTTAGCAGCTTGGTTCAAACATTTATCTAAAGTAGCAGCAGCAGCAGAAACAAGAAGAAAAATGTGAAAAGTAAAAAAAAAAGAGAATACAAAATTGTCAAAAACACAGGCATGGGAAACATACAGTAGAGTCATGAACTGATGTTCATGTGATGCTCAAATACCGCAAAGTACCATTGACCCGCACCCTCTCCAATATTTTGCCTGTGAAACGACTACAATAATGTACAGGTAAAATACAGTGTTGAACTGATGGAGGTACTACTATTGTATAGTTATACAGAACAGTTCGGTGAGGGCACGTCTGTGGATGGAACTGTTCACAATCCAGTACTGCAAGTCTGACTTCGCAGCCTTGATTTCGGACCGATTTTTCGGTGCAGCACTGAAGGCTACGTGCCCCCGCACCCGTAGACAATGCCAGCCTAAATATACACAAGGCTGCGTGCCCTGCAACCGTAGCCAATGCCAGCCTAAATATACACAAGACTGCGTGCCCTGCAACCGTAGCCAATGCCAGCCTAAATATACACAAGGCTACGTGCCCTGCACCCATAGACAATGCCAGCCTAAACATGCACAGTGGCCTGCATTTCACTGGCCACGGCTATACTCTTGCTAAGATGTTCACTGTACTTTGCCCCGTGATGTGTAGATGGAGGCACGCGTGTCTGCACATCCTGAAGTAATGGTGCTCTGGGTGAGTTCACCAATGATTCTCTAACTGTAATGAATACTTGACTGTATTGTGGCTTTAAATTAAACTTTGAAGAAGGGCTGAGGCTTCCTGCAGCTTCATCTGTGAAAAGAATTCGGGTGGACACACCCATTCCCATAGCACTGCACATCACATCCGAACCAGTTCCGTTATTTTTACAACGTTTCGGCACTTTCATTGTTATTACCTGACGATGGCCAAGTGCCGAAACGTTGTAAAAATAACGGAACTGGTTCGGATGTGATGTGCAGCGCTATGGGAATGGGTGTGCCCACCCGAATTCTTTTCACAAATTAAACTTTGTGATTACAAAATAAGAAGTAGCGACTTCGGCAGTATTATTGATGAAGTTGGTTGTTCCTAGAAGTAAATGGAACACACGCTTCCTGCCGAACTTGACACCTGACTGACTCATGACTGCCATCTGAAGCACACACGGTTACATTGTGATTACATTTCAGAAAATGCTCAGAAATATCTCAACTGTAAATCGAGCGAAAAGCTGAACGAACCTAAGTGGAAAAAGGCAGTATTGTTCTGTAGCATTGGCAATAACTGTTGTTACGACGTACTTCTGCGCAAATAGGGAAACACAAAATATTGACAATCAACATCGACAAGGTATTGAACTCACTTTTCGTGTCAAAACCTAAGTCCATCTTGTCCAGTGCAAACATATCCTTGCTCTGTATGACAGCAATAAAACCAGCAATAACACCAGCATAACATAGAAACTCACATAAAAGCAAGACGTGAATACAAGCACGAAAATGAGAAGAGGACACGCATGCATGTACATTGGTAATGCATACAGTTCACACATGGCATTGTATAGTGATACTACAATTTAATGTACAGGCAGCCGCGTGAATAACAACCTCGCATATAACAACACAACACAACACAACTGTTTTCTGATGATCGCTTAGTGCGTGAAACTCGGAGTAAAAACACTTTCTCTGTCCTCCTATTGTTTACAACACAACCTTCAGACTTGAAAGTATACTTGATGTTCGTAAAGAGCCTGAAGTGTGTCCTTTTTTCTGAGTAGTACCTTCAGACCTAGTGACCATTCGACTGCATGCTTTCAACCTCACGAATAACGATAACTCTCCTCATCAACAGGTCTACATTAAGATGATGAGCAGTGCCACTGTAACATGGAAAAATGTGGGCACAAGTTATGCGATTGAGTCCACCAACTAAACCAGATTTTGAATAGTCAGACGTGCATAATCTAGCACTGACATGGAGCACTGAGACATTCCCACTGTTCATGATTTGCAACAATGTCCTCTTAAACTACAGTCACTATTGGGCTTCTCCTCAATTTCGAAAGTTGCTCCCATGCTTTTCAGCCGCTAAAATTAATAGCGATTTTCATCCAGATTTGTGACTCTTTGGTTTTCGCGGTTTAAAAATTATGTAAACCATGTCCTTCAGGTTTTGTGCCTGGGTTAAAAAAAATGCACGTACGGCACGAGACAGTAATACCTGAAAAATAATTTGCCCCAGAATAGGAAGAGCTGCGTGATCTGTGGCCTAAGCACCACAAGGTCATGCATGAAATGAGCCAGTTACCCATATCGCAATATGCCACATAATCTTATAACGGTATTCCTTGGTCTGTCACTAATATCGTTCTAAGGGTAAGTCGACTGTATCAGGGTTTGAGAGTATGCTGCAACATGCACATGAACTGAGCTCTTGCCCCCCCCCCCCCCCCCTCCCCAAACACCAAGAAGTAGGCTGCCTGCCACTCAAAACCCTCGGCCACTGTACACCTGCAATTGTGGTAACCATACCTCTAAAGATGCTTGCTTAAACTCCTTCATTGCATCGGGAGAAAATCGACTTTCTAACAGCATCCTCGCTGCCTGAAAAAAACAAGGAAATATGACAATCATTCACACAATTTTACACATCCAGTCAACAAAGCACTTCTCATAAGATATCGAACGTTTTCGTTCCCTTCTTATCCAGGATAATACAGGGAATGGCTCAATTTGGAAAGACTAAAACTTAAATAGGGTGAAGATGAAGATAACAACACTCGTGACAAGGTGGCAATTTATCAAGTTTAAAATACTGTAATTTCACAAATTTTCGGTGTACTTTTAACTTTTATTTTCGGTACTTTCGGTGCGTCTGTTTCATACCTAAAATTTCAATACACCGAACAAACACTAACACACATAATCCAATAGGGAACTGCTTCTCTGTACCGAAAATTTCTGTTCACCTAACCTGGCCTGTTGCCCTCATACCGAAAATATTGAGCACCGAAAATTTCTGAAATTAGAGTAACCCAAATTTCGAAATAAAAATGACACCAACCTCTTCTTCACCAACAAAGTGAGCAAACTATGTAACTTGTCACGAGTGTTGTTATCTTGATCATTGCCCTGTTTTTAAAGTTTTAGTCTTTCCAAATGGAGCCATTCCCTGTATTATCCTTGATGAACGTACCTTGCCAGAGTGCTCAAACTGACAAGTCAGTGAGCTCTGCATAACGCAAACAGCAAATTACTAATTAGGTACCCAGAACACGGAAAAGCAAATGGCTGTTTCCTTTGGAAGAGGACTAGGGCTGCAACGGGTAGGGGTTTGGTCGGGTAACGAGTTCGGGCATTTCTATCCGGGTAGCTGGGTACCCTATTGAGTATTTTTGGACATACCGTATAAGTACAAATTTTCGTTTACAAAATCTTTCGTTACATCACTCCACTAGCAGGTTCGTTATGTACTAAATTTCGTTTTTGGTCGAGGTCTGTCACCCCGAACGTTCAGAAGGGTCAAGGGATCGAAGTTCGCCGTGCAGGCACTAAGTGCCGTCCTCTAAATTTTGCGTGAAATTCGAAAACGACCCGCACGATCACACCGTCTTGTCTCCCGAATATGGACAGCCCTGACTCGAAACTCACACGATGCGTTTTTCCCAGTTTTCATTTCGACCCTAAATTGAAGAGTGCGACGGTGATGCTCTGATTTCCATATTTCCGTTTTGGGTGAGGTGACCGAGCAGGCACCCGAGCTGCCGTGCCACCATTTTAGCTTGGTACAAACTTTAGTTATTTCGTGCCCCTAACGAGTACTGTAAAACATGTAATTTTAGGTGCATTAAAATTTCGGTGCCAGCGATCTGCCAGGTTTCAGGTGTGAATTAGAATTAGGTGACCAGCGTTCCCTTCACATACAGTGCATACTCTAGTGCCTTTAGGTGTAGGTGCCTGGTTTCTCTACCGAAAGCAGCGAAATTAAAGTAACACCGAAAATTACATGTTTTACAGTATAGCGAAAGTTAATTCCAAACCAAATTTTGCACTTATACAGTAGTTTGTACAGTGAGTGTGTACTTGCGCTACATAGACAGTGTACGGTAAGCACGTAGCCGTGCTTTTTACATGCACCGTTGCAACAACACCGTACTCCAACTACCCTATCAGGTTCTCAGGAGTAAACTTCTACCCGAATACCTGCTCTAACTACGGGTAGCACGGGTACCCTACTACCCGATGACACCCCTAATTCCAACGCAATCTTTACAATAGAACTGCAGGTCACTTTCCACCATGCAACCTGCGGCACTTGTGAAAAGAATATGCTTGTCACATACAGCCACAGGGCTGCCGTCTTCAAGCAGCAACACGAGCGGATAGGATTAGGGTTGGAATGTTCATAAAGAGAAGTATGCATCCGGAAGTACTCAGGATCCAGATTCCGAGCCAGATAGCAAGAGGACCATCACAGACTTCTTTGTGCCTGCAGTGTAAGTAAAAAAGAATCCTGCTCCCTGCCATGATGAAGTACATTACTGGCTTACTTCGTTGCTGGAGTATAGGATATTTTCGTTCTGCCCAGAAACAATGTTACACAAGTAACACAACTATGCTGGGAACGGGGTGCAAAAGGAAAGGCAGATCTATAGCAGCTGTTCAAAGCACATTATCATGGCTTTTTCTAGCAGCAGACGCACATGGGTGTTGAGGATCATGGATCAGCCGTTTGATGGCAGCCCAATCAGCAACTGTCCACTGGCCATGAGATGTAAGTGATAGCACATGTATGACCACACACGCCATTGCCATTGGACGCCATTGGACGCCCATCACCGGAGGCGATGATAGCGATGCTACAGCAGAAGCCATAGCAGCTTGTGCTGGGATTGCACCATTCAACAGCTTGCAAGGCTGAAGAATTGACCGCCACTATTCAGCCTGGTCTACACCACACAGCTATGAAGTGGCTTTTTCTGGCCAGTGAATCCCTACTTTTTGGTTTTTTTATTTTATTTTTTCCCGCACACACATCACACCACATACTCCGGCATGCATTCTCCTGGGTGGTTACCAAAAGCCAGTGCATGCCGGAGTATGTGGTGACCACACACACACACACACACACACACACACACACACACACACACACACACACACACACACACACACACACACACACACACACACACACACACACACACACACCTTTGACCTTTGACGCCCATCGCCGGAGGCGATGATAGCAATGCTACGGCAGAAGCCATAGCAACTTGTGCTGGGATTACACCATTCAACAGCTTGCAAGGCTGAAGAATTGACCGTCACTATTCAGCCTGGTCTACACCATACAGCTATTTGGAGTGACATTTTCTGGCCAGTGAATCCCTTTTTGGTCTTTTTCATTTTTTTCTTTTTTTTTCTTCTTTTTTTTCCCGCACACACATCACACCACATACTCCGGCATGCACTGGCTGTTGGTAACCACCCAGGAGAATGAAAGAAAAGTCAGGAAGAGTCTGAGAAAGAGAAGAAAGACGTGTGTGACCATAATCGTCACACACACACACACACACACACACACACACACACACACACACACACACACACACACACACACACACACAAAAAAATGCTAATGACACATACCTGGAAGACCTTGACAGGATCGGAGTGCTGAGGTAGTTGAAGAAGCTTCGCTAAACTGGCAACCCCTTGCTTAAAGTCAGCAGAGTCCGCTATGAAAATGAACAGACAACAAAACATTGATAAGGTCACCGTAAACAGAAAATGAAAAAAGTTGTCAAATGAGGATCCTCTGCATACTTTCACATTCAGTGTGAGAAAGAAACGCGCACCAGATGCACATGCAAAAGGGCTTACAAGTACATGTACGTATAACAGCCATCGTCATATCTTACGGTCCATAGTAGCGAGTTTGCTAGAGCTTTGACCAGAACTGGTATTGGCAGCAGTTTGTGCTTGGGATACTGCTTGATCAACACGTGAATAGACTTCACCTGGTGACAATCATCAGCAATAGGACAACAATAACACCACGGTACAGAACACACACACAAGAACAGAAGATGTTTGCTAGCACCTCATTCCCTTTCAGTCCACAGGCACATGTATACAAGTGTTAGCTGTATCTAGAACAGCATATCATTGATGTTACATGTGTACCTGCACTCGATAGCCACACAGACACAAACCGAGTCTTGACCGTTTGTGTGTGTGAAGGCTGACATCACACGGTGCTGTGAAACAGTTTCTACCCGTAGTAGATCGCCTGTGCTTGCACCTCGTCGTGTTTCGCACAGTTCGTAGGCTTTGTTTCCTTTTCAAAACTACTCATACCACTATAAAATAATTTTGTAAGTCAAGACGTCGGACGATTAACGAGGAGGCCGTGCCAACGGCTCATTTGATTCTGGGATCGCTGCTCTCACCAGATTGGTTGCGACGCGGATGGAGGCTGTTGAGGCCAGACACTTACAGGTGGCTAGGATGTTTCCAGACACCTTGAAAAATCTTCAACTGCCCACAGCTGCCTTGACGCCAACATGCTCTATGTCCACACCGAAGCCGCTGTCTCTGGATCGTCGAATGTTGCTCTCCACTCCACTGTGCATTTTATTAATTCACGGGGTACTTGGGGCAAATAGTGGTACGGTCAATACCGTACTGACCGTACCGTGTGCGACGCACCTGATACTGCATGTACAGTCAACTTCACTTATAACGACACTCGGCGGGGCATCAAAAAGGTGTCCTTATTCGCGAAGTGTCGTTATACCCGAAGTCTCATTATATGTATTACAGTGGGCTGGGACTTTGCTCTGGGCATGGAAATTCTGTCGTTATTCGCGAATTGTCGTTATATCCGCAGTCGTTATTAGCGAAGTTGACTGTATATACATTTTATTGATTCACGGGGTACTTGGGGCAAATAGTGGTACGGTCAATACCGTAGTGACCGTACCGTGTGCGACGCACCTGATACTGCATGTATATACGTGACTATTACGTCATAAATGGTGCCTGTATGTAATATCACAACTTGCATGCAGCAACTTGGACGAGTCCCTTCAAATGCATGCTTAACTTGATGTCCTTGGCTGTTCTTTTACTAGTCTCCTTGACACATGTCTAAATTAAAAAAATTGTATTCTTCCACAACATCAAGTCATCAACCCGTTGTCTTGAGTGTTTGTACGTGTGAAGGTAGACATGACACAGCCTTGAGTGTTTGTGCGTGTGAAGGCAGATATCACAGACTCAGACTCACAGTTATCTGCATACTCTAGGCGCAGGGCACATCCTAGTAGCCAGTCGATCACAGACGCTTGCTTGCGAAAGTCTACGGGACACTCCAAGTCCTGCAAATACTGGACAAAAGAGGTGCACGTAGAAGGGAAGAATATGAACACAGGCACAACAGGTCAAGAGGCCTTGAAGAAATCGAATGCATGAAGCTTGCATAATTCTGCAAATTCTTGATTGCAGAGCACAGCAATACTGTAAAAGCCATATATATAACGAAGTGCTAACTCTAACGAGTTAACGAGGAGAAATCTGTCGTTAAAATAGAAATCGTTATACAGAAATCGATACATATACTGTCCTATTGAGCGTTGAGAATGAGTGAGAATCGTTACCTTTGGTACACGTAAACTAGTCAATTTGGACAAATCGTTATATATGCGCCTCGTTAGAATAATGGCTTTTACAGTACAGTCTGTATCGGCTATAGCGTACCCTTTTGATTTCCGTGATTTTATCACTATAACCGATGCATCACTATATGCGATACGATCGATTTTTTTCCTTTTTTCAATCTACACATGAAAGGCAAGGAAATACAATGTACTTCCAGCATGGCGTTTTGACAAATGAGCATGCTGCATAGTTGACAGTGCCCGCATTTCCATGAAAAATTCTGTTATGTACATGTACATCATGTATCACTATAAAAATAAGCAACGTGAAGAAAGTAAAAAAATTGGGCCTTTGATATTATTGCTACATGTATTTTAAAGTTATCACAATAGCCGATAATAATATAGTGTGTTATGCATGTTTTGATTCTTTGTTGCCATCATAATATCCGATATATCATTACATCCGATAATATTGGTTATAGTGATATTTGTACTTGAATTGTTTGCAGGCAACCTGCCTACACTCAAGAGAGCACTGCATTTCACACAAATCCATTGGTATCGTTACAGGATTTGTGTGAAATGCAGTGCTCTCTTGAGTGTAGGCAGGTTGCCTGCAAACAATTCAAGTATAATGAAGCTGCGTGAAGCGTCCTTCAAAATTTTGAAGTGATATTTGTACTGGATAAAATACGTTTTGCTTTTGATATTTCGTACCAATATCACTGTAGCCGATATATTCTTATATCCGGTCACTCTATAGCCGATACAGACTGTACTACGAAATCACTGGCGCTCTGCATTATCAGTTGAAGTTCGCTGATGAAACTGTAAATAGCGGCCGATAGGTCTACAGTGAACTGTGCAAAAGATTGTCGTGCCTCACAAGGTGCTCAGCTAGCGCCCCTACCCGTGCATTTCTGGCCGAATGCTAGTGCATGCAAAGTGCATTCATTGCATACATGCCTAATCCAGTGCTGCCAACCAACTGGGTCTGTTTTGCGTACTGTGACTTCTGATTTTCCGTATTTTGCAGTGTTTTTTTTTCCGTACTACCAATGTACTGCCGTGTACATTGCTTGTATGGTACTTTTTTGACACTCACATGCTTGTTGGCGGCTGAATTTACTAGTGCAAAACATGTGTGACTTGTACCACGACATGATATTTTGAGCTACATGCAGTCGAAGTATGGTATGCACTCACTTTGGCACAGGGACGTTCATCGCTCAGGCTGCGCTTGCCATGTTTCTACATACATATCTGTAAGCTGATCGATCCTCTTCAATTTCCCGTACCATTTTGCTCAAATTCTGTACTGCAGATGAAGGAGTGATTGTCCGTACAAATAAGGAAAAATGCGGCAGGTTGACAGCACTGATAATCATTGCAAAATCTTCGCAAAGTCACTGTTTTTGGCAGCATTATGGGCAAATAATTCGACAAATTTGTCTCCACAAGTCATGGGTGACAGAACTGTCATGACAAAAAGAAAAAAAAGGTTTCATCAACCTAAAGGATGCCAAAGGACTGTCTAACCAGGCAGAGTGCTTTTATGTTAAAAGAGAAGGCAAATACATATTCCGCAGGATTAGAGTGTATCTTGTCACTGACAGCAATAGACAAGTAACTGCTAGCTGTGTAAAGTGCCACTCTGTCTGCCCTGTTATTACGGAGGATTAGCAAGACGAAATTCGCGTTCGCGTTCGCACTCCAAGGAAAGTCGAACTCGGTGATGGAATTCGCGTTATGAGAAGGATTAGCAAACAGAATTCGCACATGCATGACGTTGACACGATGTACAGGTACAGCGTGGTAAATTTATGACTGCTCTGACACGAATCCGCGATTCGTGTTCCGACTACTTTTCCGAACGAAAACTGCGAAAGTTCGCAATCCAGTTCGCGACCTGAAAAATGTTTGCGAACGCGAACACGAATTTCGTCTTGCTAATCCTCCGTATTAGCAGCTGCTCAGTGCTCACCCTCAACTCACCTTGGTGAATGCATTGTGCCACTGTGTTGATGTGATTTCTCGTAGTGACTTGCGGTCTTCGCTTGGATAGAAGCGGATTTTCTGATCTTCTAGCCACACAACTAAGGTGCGTACATGCTGTTCATCTGAAATATTCAGAAAGGCAATTGTACAGTTAAGGATCTGCAATTACTTTGAACTGTTGTTGCAAAAAAAGCCCAGACCTGAGTAGAGTCAAGTCCTATTACTCGTCCTGAGAAGACACATTTATAAATATTACGTGCAAGATTGCACGATATGGCGCCGCAACCTCGACCAGACGAACTACAATGGTCTTCTCAGCCAATCAGCTCTGACTTCTTTTCAGCCAGTGATGTGGCCAAGCTTGGCCGTTAACGACGGCAGGATTCATCCTGTGCGTGATGCTACCATGGAGATTCAGACACATGTACTAACATTTTGGACTCAGATGGAGAGCCAAGGATAAATTTATAGAAAAGAAAAAGTACCAAGGAACTACAAGTTACGCTATAATGTCCACTAACACGACCAGTTACTAAACAATCAGCTCATGTGATAACATTGCACGACATTGACCAACGGTACTGACGTTCTACAACTAACTGGCCAACTTTCTCCTCCTATGTTTTCATATAACTTAGAACCTTCCAAGTTGGAAGGCTGTTGGAGTGCGCATCCAAGATGTGTTAGAGCTGTTAGCCAGCTAGTTGTAGAACGTCAGTACCGTCGATCAGTGTCGTGCAATGTTATCACATGAGCTGATTGTTTTATAGTAACTGGTTGTGATAGTGGCCATAATAGCGTAACTTGTACTTCCTTGGTCCTTTTTCTTTTCTATAAATTTATCCTTGCCTCTCCACCCGGGCCGAGTCCATTCTTGCACACCTGATGAGCCGTCCTTATCTATACGGCGAAACGATCGTCGTGTGAAACTGCTGCTTGTTACTGCTGCTTTATTACTAAGCTTATTGTCCATCTAAATTGTCATAGTCGAAGTACAGTGCTTTTTTACCGAGGCGTTCGGTTTTGCACTGCCGTCGTGTAAATCGCCTCTTAGTGTTCTAGGTGAAATGTACTGCTGTTATGTGTTATCACTTTGTCCTTCTTTCTTTCTCTTTTATATTTTTCATCTGCAAGTTAATTGTTAGCACACGCATTCGTGATTGCTCTCGCTTTCATTGTTAATTAAAATTCACACCTGCATGTTTCACTGATGTTGTTCTTGGTGTTATTTCTCTAACTTAGGCTTTATTGTAATAGTTCAATTTAGTTCAATTTACTTTCAGTGTCCTTTAGTACAACGACGATTCCTGATGAGTGTTGTACGAAAACTTGTTTGAATCCTAATTTTCTCAACACTATTTCTTCCTACTTTCATTGTTTTATTGCACATTGTCTCCACCGTATTACATTGCATGAATAAAGTATATTTCTTCAGAATTCCCAAACTCCATTGCAGCGTATTCCTTGCACTTGAAAACACCGCCATTCCGGCAACAGGCTCTCAGCTGCACCAAATAAATAACTTTGCCAATATTTCGCCCATTGGGCATCATCAGGGCATGATGATGCCCAATGGGCAAAATATTGGCAAAGTTATTTATTTGGTGCAGCTGAGAGCCTGTTGCCGGAATGGCGGTGTTTTCAAGTGAATAAAGTATACACAAAAGTTGATTCAGCTTGTCTTATTGATTGCGGTTATCAAATTATTGTCTCCTCGCCGTTTGTTAAAATAAATGTTGGTTTGCGTTGCGAAAACCGTAGTTAACCTACATGTCACAGAGCCGCATCTCCCGCACCGAGATGCCGTCCGCGGACACGCCAAAACCAGCTAAGTCTCGTACGAGCCCCGCCAAAGTTGTATGCACTGCCGGGCTCCTGCACGGGGCCCCACGTCTGCACGCGCAACCGCGATGCGCGTACGGCATGCCGTATAAGCCACCTATCTGCCTTGGGTGCAAGCTCACCCAAGGCCACCCTCGCAAGGCAGGAACAAGTAAAGACATTTGCCAGTTGTTTGTTGTGCCTGCCCACCGCAAAAATTGTTTCCCACCCTCCCACACCGTTTAAAAGGCAGGAGGCACTGGTGCTGCCGATGGGCGCCGCATAGTGCACGCACATCGGCACCATTGAACTATTCATGTGTACTAAGATTTAGTGTTCCGCTGCCATAGCAACCTAGTAGTAAACGTAGCCGTTCCGACAGCGCACGACCCCGCGGGTCGCTTCTGCTGTCCTTGCCTCTCTGATGCGTGATATGTGTACATTATAATAATCATGACCTCATACTGAGTACATGTACGTCATACTTGATTACGGATCACAGGCTCATGATTATTCATGCTTGAAATACTGTAAACGCTTGAGACACCCCATGGGCGCGTCTCTCTTGTGTGGCATGAGGGTTAATAATAATAATAATTGATTGCGGTTATCAAATAGGCTTTTGCACTTTTTTACAACCTGCATAGGCCATACTAAATCCTAGTGTCAGCTTCTTTTCCTCGTTCTACTTCAGAGCGGAAATCTCAGTAATACACTATTACCGATTCCGAATGCCAATGTCATAATAATCCCCGTATTAAACATCATTCGGCTCGCCAAGTTTCGTGTTGACCGATCTCAGAGTCCTTATGAATTGTAGATCGCCTGTTGTTGCAAATGCTTTATTATTGTTTTTATGGTGGAGTTTAGATTGAGGTTCTTTTTCCTTCCTTCATCTTCCTTCTCCTGTTTCTTGTCCTTTTGTTTTCTAGCTAAATATATACTAGTACCAGTCCTTTTTTCGTTTCTTTTTCCTGTCTCGCCCATGGAATTATCTTCCCGGTGGGACTGGCTTATCGCCTTCGAAAGGAGGGAATAAAGGAGAGATAATAATAGTCTTGTAGAATGTAGTCCTATACTATAGTATACATGACGTACATGTACTGGAGTGGCTTACAGATAATGATGTCACAAACAATTCTTACCATCAAGGCTAAACAAGTCATGATGATGGTATCCTAGAGCACGCAGCTTTCTCTCGAACATACCGGTAGCAATAACTTGAAATGGGCACATGTATCAGCAGATATTCTTTCAATGTGAAGTGTAAACGCAAACAATGACTGGAAAGTTCAACTGCACACTTTTTTACAGCAATATCTCACAGCTCTTTGGATACAGTCCAGACTCAAGAGCACTTACGAAGATGTATGTACTCGTACTCGTACAGCTAACAGTCTTCTCTATGTTCAACAAATGAACTGGAGTCTGATCTGGCTCATGCCCCACACAAAACCTAATCTACAAAATCAGGCGTCAAAACAGAAATGAAAACAATGAAAATAATAATGCTTTTTTTGTTTTGAAGTTTTTCGAATAATTTTGGATTGACGTAACGATGGCATCATGCTTGCTGAGTAGGTCTACGTAGATATATCTACGTCGCGAGTAGAACGATTTCTTGTGTGAAGCTTTTGCGTTCAATGACTGTGTTCTAAATTTTGTTTCCGAAATAATTTGGGTTGTCTTTTTGCTTTGACTCTTACTTCATGGTGTTGTGAATAAAACCGTTCTCAAGTAGTAGACCTACTTCGTACACGTACAGTGTAGATTCTGCGAGACGATCGAGTAGACTGTACTACCACCGGTGCACCAGTCGTAGTAATTCAACTAGCGAAAGGACTACGAGTACGTTCAGTAAATGTGGCAACAAAGTCAAAGGTTCGATCGCGGCGTTGAGAACTTGGAGGATAAAATAACACATTTTGTGAACACAATACAACGAATGATAAAGAGAGTTTTGTAGTAATGATTATTTACAGACTATAATGCATGCAGGTTCACTGGACCATGGATGCGTGCCTCAGCTCAGCCACCACTACAATTGTAGTAGGCACTACTAGTAGTGCCACTAGCACTGCAGGGCTCGGGGACTCAGCTCAGGTACGACAGGAGCAAACATGCCGCGCAGGCACCTGGCACCACAACGAACAGGGCAAACCCAAGGCGGCAGCGCAGCAAGGAGACAACCCGCGGGTATGGCTCCTTGCTCTTCTCAGCCAGGATCGGAGAGAGGCGATCCTTGAGAAAAGCGCATTGGCATGCTTACCATAGCCACCAGAGGCAGAAAGCACAGCTGGCACGAAGGAGGCATGCTCGACTTCGCGTACCTACTTCCGGCGCAGCGCTTTTCTTGTTCGCGTCTGTACTGTAGCTAGCAGCGAGGGAGGCAGCATGATTCGAAGACGCAAAAGGGTTGAACACCAGTACATCGATAAAGATGCCCTCGAATCGGCCACACCACTAGCCACAACGTCCAGCCGAGCCTGCTCCTCCGTGATGGCTGTGCGATGGCGGAAAGCCTCTCCGGTGACGAGCTGGAGGTGGGGGTTTCGCCGTCACGTTATGAGCGACCTGCCTCAGGGGTCTGGCGGTGATGTCCCTCACCTCGTTATGGCGCAGCGTCAGGAAGCCACCAAACGGGCACGACAGGGCGTGACTGACATTCAGCGGCTTGCTGCACACGCAAAGGCTTGGGAGCCGAGGAGGTGTCCAGCCGTACCGGAGGCACAGGCCATCCCAGAACTCCCCCTTGGTGAGGGTGAAACTATGGTGGCTGAGGGGGCAGCAGGTCAGCCAGCTGGATGCACCCCTTTCTGAGACCAGGTCGAGAACAGGGGCCAGCTCTCGGTGATCCGAGCGAAGTGCGTCAGACATGGACTTGGCCGTGCTCCGCATCTCGGCACGAACCGTCGCCTTGACCGTCCGGAGCTGAGTCAGAGAGTCGCCGAGAGATGATTCCTGCTCTAGCAGGCGAGACACAAGGCTAGCCGTGATCCTTCTGGACGAGATGTACTGCTCAGCCATTGAACAGAGGTTTGCCATACCCAGTCCCCCACGCTGGCATGGCATAGAGAGTAGGCAGCGAACAGCTGGACCAGGTGGAGCTTGACCTGTGGTGGCCGGGATGAGCCGATCGCTGATGGCGTGTTCCAGCGGTTCAAGAAGGGACGGCGGGATGGAAGAGGTCTGGCAGAGGATGGAAGAGGTCTGGCAGAGGAAGGACCACTTGTTTTGTAGGCCCTGCGTGAATGCGGAGTAGGCGGCTTGTCGTTGCAACGCAGCGATGATCGTGAGCTGTGCAGCTTCCTCGCACCAGGTGGCGACCTTGGATTGAACGAATTGTTCCACAAACTCATCCGTGCCCAAAGGTGCACCGAGGTGGCGGCACCCATCACATGTGACCTGTGTACCGGTCCCTTCGAAGGTCTCGACAGCAGCTGCGAACTTGGAGGGCTTGACGAGGAGGAGTGACTTCTGCGCACTGCAGTGGTAGCCAAACCTGGGACCATGGCTGACAAGATTGTCCCACCATTGGCGAACAGGCGTTAGCTTCCCACCGGCTGCAGCATCGTCTGCATGCCAGCCCTGCTTCGCACCGGGCACTGTAACTTTCTTGATGAGCGGGAGGACCCCAAGCACGTATACTGGCATGGCCACTGGGGGTCACCCTGGTTGGTACCCTCGCGCGGCAGCAAGCACTCTCCATCAACGAATAGGCGGGATGGTTGGCAGTAGGTGTTGATAGTAGGTTGGCAGTAGGTGTTGATAGTAGTTTGGCAGTAGGTGTTGATGACAGCTGGCGCTATACGGACAGAAGTGACGGATGTTCCTTAGGCAGGCTTCACGGTTGAGGCGGTTGAAGGCGTTCGAAACATTGGCGAGCAATATGGCATCCGCATCCTCCTCACGGTAGACATCATGCATCGCATGGATTGCAGCTTTGATGCCGCACTCCTGACCGGCACACAGTTGAAGGGTACCCGCTGCACCTTGGATGTCTTTCTCTGTGACAGGGAGGACAGCTTTGCCGACAATGCGCCTGGCCACTTCGCCGATACCAATGAGTCGAACACCCCGGCGACTTGTCAAGGGCGACGAACGCCTCCAGTGTCGCTGGATTGACGTATGTGGTAGCAATGCGACAAGCGCATGTCGCAAGCGAGTCACACAGCTCGTCCGACGCTTCGGAGAACGTGGTGCACATGCGCCGCCATCCATCAGCGCCCACGCCCGGCGGTCCAGCAGCGACGGGGGGGGGGGGGGGGGGGGGGGGGGTAGGGCGGCCCGGCGGATGACGTCACGTGTCATGCTCGAGAACATCACACTGTGGGGTTGAACAGGTGGCTCACCCGTGAGCAGAGACTCTGCATCAACCAGGTCTCCTGCCGAATGTTTGCTGACAAGAAGGTCGCGGGTGGTGTCAGTGCCGACAGTGGTGTCCAGGCTAAGAACTCCATTACGGCCACCACTTGATAGCCGCCGGAGGACGGATGGTAGTTCGCCGGAGGAAACATTACTGGCGAACGCCCTTGCCTGGTCGGGGGGGGGGGGGGGGTCGATCGGGCGGCTGGCTGGTGGCTGTCCTGGACTTGCTTCTGGATGGTGGTTGACTCGCGGAGCAGTTCCGGCAGGCTAGCTGTTTGCCAAAGTTTGAGATGTCTCCTCAGGCTTTCCGTGGAGACGGCTTGCCAATACATGTACCGGGTATGGTTGCCCTGTAGGGTCTGTAACATCAGCTGTGGGAAGACCATCGCCGCCTTGGTTTGAGTGGACAAACCTACTTGTACATGTCTACGGCATGCATATCGCCAAGAGTACATCACCCCCCAGAGTGTGCAACTCCCACATACCCTGCTGTCCCGACAGAATTTCAAGTTGACGTCATTATTTATGACGCAATGCTCCTTGCACCAGTGATTTACAACATGTGTACGGGTGTCAACGCATCACACGTTTTTCTTTTGCAATAATTTGTACAGGACCGATCGGCTTCGGTCAACCACAGGTTCCGGATTCGTCCGATAATCCGTGTACAGTGTGCATTGCATCATCAAAATGACGTCAACTTGAAATTCTGTCGGGACAGCAACAATAGTGGAGTTGCACACTCTGGGGAGTTATGTACTCTTGATATCGCGCATGCAGCCTTGCAGGCAGGGAGTAGTAAAATTAAAAATGACGGGCCTATGATAGGCTATGTCTACGTCTATGAGTACTAGCAAGAGTCCATAAACAAGACTGTTTATGGACTCTTGCGACTACACGTAGTAGTACTACTAGTATGAGCAGGAGTACGTACTCTTATGTACTCTTGCAGTCTTGGTATGAGTCAGTCAATGACTATGCCCGGTGCATGTCACTCGCACTCATACATTGTATGACCGGGCCACGGCCCGCAGCTGGAAAAGTCACTGAGTCAGACTCAGAGCATGCATGTGACCATGGTGACGGCTGCCTACTGTAGTGAGGATGAAAGCAAGGAAAAAAAGAAGGAGGTGTGTCTATGGACATGGTGTCCGCCCACCTGTCCGAACAGGAGAAGGACATTCGATCCTCAGTCTCCACTCGGCACTCGACCTCCAGCACTAGCAGTAAACGGTTTCTGTTTGTACTGTTGACGTGTTGTACTAACTAATACTTACTTGTAAGTTGTAGCACCACCGGCATGCGTCTTTATTTTATGCTTGATTCATTGTGTTTACGATTCTTACGATTGTATCCAGGATTCCTGATCCCGATCCAGGTGAAATGTAAATTGTTGGTACAGTACTTGTAACGTTACATGACTGTACTCTCTAAATCAATCGCCAAACATTGGGCAGCAGTCCAGGTACCGCACTACAACGACTTCTGTCCGACTTCACTTTTCAGTTCGGCGCTGCCAGTGCCACTCTCCTCCTTGGCCTTGACCTCGATTCAAGATACGATCATCGGCCCATTTACTGTTTTTATAATTATAGGGTGTGTACGTGTGTGAAGTGAGCACGAGGAACACTGCCCCGGATACCGTATCACGCCATACACATAATGTGCAGGTCGTAGTACGACAAGTACAACAGCTAGCTCCCAGCTGCGCTTCACCTTCACTCGATTCTGGGTCGGTCGTGTGATCGTGAGATCTCGAGAGTAGCCGCGTTGCTCTCGATCGGCAAGACCAACACCACTGACGACGAGACTGCCAAGACAAGATTCTTGATGCGAGGTGAGTTGTGCCGGTCACACGTGCACACGAGCGCAACGCTATCGCGGCATGACAAGAAGCAGTGGTCGGTAGATCTACGCGGTGATTTGAGCAAACCAGTAGAAAACAAACAGCTCGTGCTTGTTTGACTTTGAGAATGAGAGTGATCTGATCTGCGTTGACCAGGTTGACAGTTTTCGAGTTTTGTTTTGGATTCTTGAATACTATGGCCTCTTCTTGAGGCGTGTAATCTACCAATGCTTGAGTGTCTTGTACTGGTCCTTGAAATGTAGTTTATAGTATTCTTCTGGTGGGATTCGCCTTAGACTTTAGGTCAAGCTCTGTGTATGAGACTGAGAGTCTCTTTCTGTATTCGCTCGTATGAATTTCCTTTGAACACTCGCAGCAGTTGATCTCGTATCTTCTATAAAGGTGCATCGAAAATGGAGATGGAATGGTTAGCGTGGGTACTGCTAGCAGCAGTGTTGCTGTTTACGACAATATTCTTGCGATTAGGTGGCCTGGTACCACTTTTCGACGCCGCTCTGGCCATCTACTTGAGGTAAGTAGTACATGACACCTTTACTTTAGGTCATTTCTATCACATACTGTACAATCATGGACCTGGTATCACCAACAATCATGTACCTGTAGTGCCTGTACTTGTCTTTAGACCAATTAATATTTCGAAAGTAGTCTGATTTCTTCAGGCTAGCGTAATTTAGGGGCACATGGTAGATCTACGACTCTGACATGGAAGTGCACCGTAAAATGCAAACTTCACAAAGAGTAGTGAAAAATACACGCTGATTCCAGTGGTGTAGGTCCCATGTTCATAAAAGCAGCCGTTCTGAGTTAGGGCGGCTTAACGTTTTTACTAATTTATTTCGTGACATAAATAGTGATCACGTCCCAACTTGCCCAGAATAGGCCAGGATTGCGATGTCACAGAGACAGACTTTGTATGGGGAAGGATGGGGATTGTTTCGCTACAACACCGAACCTCCGGCCAGGCTTATTTCCAGTTGGGGCTCTGATAAGGTGCCCAATGTCCTATACTAAAGTTGAAAACATCCGACTTCCTTGGGATTTGTGGAGAGCCAAAATACTGCTATTTCCCCATCTCCTAGTACTTGCATACAAAGTTCATCTCTCTGATGTCACAGACCTGGCTTAATAATTTGGTGCAAGTGATTTATTGAAACCTTTTTAGCCGCTCCCATCAACCGGAGACTTTCACCATTGGAATCGGTGCCCTTTTCCCTACAAGTTGTGACGTTTTGAATTTAAGGTGAACTTCATAGTACAGTACTGTCGGTCGCCGAAGAACTGGGGGGTCAGCCTCCTAGCTTGGACCGTTCTTATTTTCATGTATGACAGTCGATGCTGCACAGTTGAGTCGCCATGTATACATCGGTATGCTGTGCTTGGTGAAATTCTAGCCTGGCCGTTCTTCGGCGCCCGACAGTACTGTAGTCAAATGTGCACGTTTTTATTCAGAAGGTATTTAAAGTTCCTTTCCACTCTAGGCTAGTCTTGAGCAAGAAATGAGCATTCGATGCCTGGTAGGTCTTGATGCTTTGTTCACACTTAGAAGCTGTTATTGATGCAGTTGTATCATAATTATAGTGTCTCCACAGAATCGGTAGCGTGGCATAAGATGTGAAAAGGGGATCTTTATATTTTTCCGCTCGAATCTGAAGGTGGTTTTTCTCTGTTGTATGCTTAGGTTATTTTGGGACAAGGATGGCTGCTATTGTGACGCTAAAGTTCTTGGCTTTCTTATGAAATGGCAGTTGGCTCGTCATCCCCTCTCACGTCGATGGGTGCTCATGTAGGCTATAGTCAATTTCTTTGCTTATTTTGCCTCCCCTCTCGTTACTCGGTATGAGGCCTGAGAAAAGTGGTGGTATCTATTCTGGCAAGTAAACCATGGCACTACAAAATGTGCAGTATACAGTGTTGCCTTTTTTAGATGTTTCACCTTACGGTGTACAATATAGAGAACGTTGCAGGTGTCTTTTTGGGATGTGCAGTGGTACTGGTGGAAGATGTGGGTGTTGAATTTCATTTACCGCAACTGCAGTAGGCGCATCTCAACATGATTTTTGAGCACATTCCAGGCAGCTTTGCCATTGATGACTGCTGGCTGATGCGCCTCTTGGATTGGTGGGCATTGCGACTGCTCCGCGTACACTACTCATGGTTGGGTCCTTGCATTCACACACGTTATAGCGGGGGACCCACCGTGGTATCCGCTCCATGTGTGAGTTGGGTAAAGGCAACGTGGCATCTAGATGTACTTTGAAGTAGCATTTACCTCTGGTGTATTTTTATTCAATTTTACTTGAAGTGCACCCACAATATTTTTGGTCGTGCCTTCCATTTTATGAAATGGACTAAAGACCGTCCAGCAGAATCTCTCAATTATGAACACCCACTGGACCAGACATAACTGTCCTGAATATGGACTTGTCCTGATTGCTAAGTGAATTGGGAACAATTTTTCAAGAGAGATTCTACTGTGGAGTATTAGGCTGTCTTGACGGAGAGAATTTTCAACGTGGGTTGAAAGTCTGGGGTGTTTACATGAAGAGGGTTAAAATAACCCGGAGAGATTATCGATATGCGTACAGAAAGTTCATTTCTCTAGACCGGTATGGTTGCGTGACTACTTTGGCGAGAAATTCGCTTGTGCAATGCTGGCACAAAATACGCACAAGTAAGGTAGTATGTTTCTCGATTTCAGCATGGGTCACACCCAATTTATCATGTTAACGCTCCCATCAATCTTTGTTTATAGCGGTTTGGAAAGTCATGTAAACACAACCTAGGTTTTCTTCAAAACCCGGGGGGGGGGGGGGGTATTTTTGAAGGGAGATATCAAGAAAAAAGAAGGAGTTTTTGGGATAGTAGAGAGGTTAAGGCTGATAGCCTATGGCTGATAGATTTGACACTTAGTTTTTTCATTGGACGTTGATACTATCTTTATTTGGTCCGTCAATTCATAGTAGAAGTAGGTTCTTTCTTTCTTTTTCCGACCAGACGGAACCACACGGCAATGGCCCAGCAGCTTTCCCATTGACCTACAGTTGCTGACTTGTGACGTTGAAGTATTTGTCTTGTGCAGTTGGCATTTTTCAGATGTGACGTTTGACGTCTGATATGATTAATTTTTGTTGGCTGCCACCTGGCTTCTACTTCGCACCTCACAACTCCAGTATTGACGTGAAGGTTATAACGCCACTTATTGTTTACCTCTCTTTCTCTTTGTGATTTTAATTAGCACTTCTATTCTCTTAGTTGTGTCTGGAAGGTTTCAAAACACCTCCATTCTACACTATTTGGTGTGCGTTAATTTGTCATAAAATGTAATGTGAGTTAGTTGAGTAAATACACCTTGCGTCCGTATCTTAATCTTGTGTATAAAATAGGATTCTCTTATTCAGCGCTTTCATTCAACATCTACTCTCCTCTGATGAGTTCCCATTATCTTACGGAACAAAGCAAACTTGTCAGGAGTATCTACTTGCTGCCGTGGAGTGTTGCTGATGGACTGTTCGTGCTTGTGTATGCAAGTGCCGTGTGGTCCTGTCTGGTCGAAAAAAGAACCTACTACGTCTAAGTTATAACTAACTTCAACTTAAACTAAGTCAGCGATGCTGTATATGCAGCATATCTTCTAATCAACATCTGGCTCCTTCCTACTCCACCACTGCCATTGATCCTTGCCTGCCTCATCTTCCGGTCTCTGCCCATGTATGGCTATAGGATTGTGTGTTGTGTGCTGTTTCTGATCTATTCAGGTGGCGGCAATTTCGATGTAGGGCTACCAAGAAATGCATTGAGCTGAGCGATTACAAGTTCATGTATCTGGAACATGGCAGTGCATCTCGCGAGCGTCCCACAGTGCTACTGCTTCATGGGTTTACATCTGGCAAAGAGGAATGGTCAGAGATTATGCGTCTGTTAGGGTCGGCTTGTCATGTTATTGCAGTGGATATGCCTGGGCACGGTGAAACGACACGCAACCCTCGTGGCGATCACTCTATCGTTGGAGCAGTTGCTCGAGTGCGACAGGTCAGTGATTTTTACATTAGCATTATGTTGAGTTCTTGTTCTAGCTCTCGACCTTACACAATGGTGTTTCTGCATGGTTCGCTGCTCCTGTTGAACAATGCCACTACTATCTATAATCAGTATTTATCACACAGACAGCACATATACTAATTGTCTCCGGATGTTTCCACTGTGCACTGTGCTGGTTCCAAGCCTGCATGTACTTTGAAATTCATTCTATGCTGTTTGTTTGTTTCCTCCACAGTTCGTCGAAGCTGTTGGGATACTTGAGCATGGATTTCATGTTGTTGGTTCATCCTGGGGTGGTCATGTTGCTGGTGTATATGCCAGCAAATATCCTGATAGGCTTCACTCACTCACCCTTATGTGTCCAAGTGGTAAGTGTTTTCTTTCATACCATTATCTTATGAACGCATGGGAAGAAGGCAATGTTATGTCAGAATAGGTATGTGCTTTGGATACTTCCCGCTTGAGTCCTGTGAGTGACACTGTTTCTTGTCTCTGTTGTTGGTTTTCATGCTGCTGCCATAGGTCTAGAGCCGAAAAACATAACTCGATTTGTCCGCGCATTGATGGAGGGTCGTAACTATCTCCTTCCGGTTGACAGTGAGGAATTTGCAGAGTTTCTTAGCTGTGTCTTCTATCGGCAGCCGCCCTTGCCACGTTGGGCACTTGCGATAGGACTGCGAGACCGTGTCCCGCATTACCCGTTCTTTGAAACTGGTAGGTTGTTGCCGCAGAAAATTCGACTGTTTTCTGTGATGTCGGTATTGTCGGAACACTTGCACTTGTGTTTCGCATCCGTTGTCTGTTAGTGTGCGCTGTTCACACGTTTCTTCACCACACATAACTCTGAACTAAGAAGGATGTTAACAAGGTTGAACACCGATTCGTTTAGGGCTGTGCTTGCATCAAGTCTATTTCTGCTATTCATCAGTTGGAGATCCAGGATCCTATGCATGTATAAGTTGTTTTGCTCACAGTTACATAAGACCCGTACATGTGTGTAGTGGCTGTTTGTCATTCCACTTCTCTACCTCCTCTTTGTTTCATACTATCCTTGGTGTGCAGTGTTTGATCAGCTGATGGAACCTGACCAGCGTTTCTTGCTACAAAAAAGTCTGGTTGATATCAAGGCAGCAACGCTTGCAATGTGGGGCAAATATGACCAGGTTAGTGTAATTTTTCTCAGATAGTGGAACCATGGCTCACAGTGTTGTTAATGACAATGCAGCTACATATATAGACACTATTATATATATAGACACTATTACAAGGATGTATAAACGATTTGTCACAATCTCTGGAATATAGAGCAAGGGGTTTCAGACTGTCTCTGTGACAACAATGGCTGTGTCGGATTAGTTGAGCTTGCTATGTTCAAGTATGTTGCATACTACCAAGAGTACATGAAAACCAGAGTGTGCAGCTCGGATGGGTTGCTGTCACGGCGAAATTCCGTGATTACATCATTTTAGTGATGTAGTGCGTACAAGCAGGATTCAAGCAGGTCTCTTTCTGCACAACTGCAGCTCAGTTGTACGCACTACGCCATTTCCCGCCTCAGATCTGGGCCAAATATGATGTAATCACGGAATTTCGCCGTGACAGACACCCATAGCAGAAAAGGCCCCAAGCTGCACACTCTGGTTTTCATGTACTCTTGATACTACTACTACTGTAGCGTGCAATAATTGTAAACCGCAGTGAGTCAGATTATCCACATCAAGTACGGATACTGCATTGGAATCTTCTTTGTCGCCTGATTTGGTTTCTTGGATAGCTCAGCTGCTGGGATAGTGACTCGCAATTTAGATAACAGTTAGATGACGTGCTGCAGTGCTTGATGGGTCGTGATCTGTGGAGAAAATGCACTTCCAGGTGTTGCAGTCATTATTTAGTAAGGCTGATTCCACTCCTCTTGTGTTTCATTGCATATAGGTCTTGGATCCATCTGGTCTCGAGATCTTGTCAAAAGAAATTTCAAACTGTGAAGGTCACTCCTTAGATGAATGTGGTCACACTGTTGCTATTGAGCAGGCAGCAGCTGCGGGTAATCTCATCAAGCAACACATCCTTAGGCATCACCAAAACTCTGTCGTCAATATTCATTGAGGCTTCTTCAGGATTGGCTGTTGCACTCGCGGGTATTTTCTGAAAACTCATTTCTTAGTCAAGTTTGCACCGGTCGTTTGATTTACCCCTTGGTGGTTGCGAGAGACACCGATGTTGACCCCAGCTTTTGCTGTATTTATCCGCGTATTTATCGACTTACCCCGTATGTCGTTTTAGCAATGCCTTTATCAATTCCAATATTTTCAAAAATAAATTATTTTTAGTTGCTGTTGAACTTACTGACATGTATCATACTCATATGGCGTGGAGATGCTTATTACCTCGCATTACTCCTCCACTCTCTCTTTTGATGTTGCAGTGCAGATAACCCTTCTTTTTGTATGAGTGTTTAATACAGTGTATTGTTTCAGGCTTATCGTTTACTCAACAGTTGCCATGTAGGTTCGTAGGAGTAACATAATTATTCAGATTTTTAAAATTCAGACATTCGACGCACACATGCCAGTGTGAGGACAGCGCAGCTGTGCCATGTCAGCTGTGTTTGCAATGATTGTGTTGGCTGCCAATCTGAATCTGTAACTTTGCCTGTGCAAAACCACCGATGCCCTAGCAGATGAACGTACATGTGCAAAGATGGAAAGTCTCAAAGGTTTGATGGAAATACACATATGCAACAACCCCTGTCAGAACAAGCATTTGGGTGCTGAGTCAAATGGTCTTTGTTCGTCAAGTGTCCAAGGATGCTGTGATGTCGTACTTCACTTGGCCACACTTGTTACATTGCATATGCAGTATTTCTGGTTCTCTGCGGTCACATTCATATTATTTGTATCACTACATTACACTGCATTGTATGGACAGAAATGGGGGATGAGCAAGAGCACATACGAGCATCATGTCAGGGATCTACAAGATGTAAGCTTGATTGACCTTGCACTGTGCATCAGGGTGATAAGGTTCGGGGATCGTTGCCTAACAATAAATACTGTGTTGAATGCACACACTTCTAGTCAAACTACTGACAGGATGGTGCTAAAGATTGAATTCAATATTTTCGCAGAGATTCTTTTTACTTACATGTACAGAAAAAGTAGATGGGTGGGGGTCGAAATATACAAGCCGTTATATACAGCATGTCACATCACAAAAAGGGGTATTGCGAACGGGCCTTAAAAACAAATGAAGGCAAACGAGAGAGCTAGCTCAAGACCCTTCGCTATGCTCACTCATCATCATGAACATTTGCTGAGCTGGCTCGTCATCGGTCAAGTGAACAGTCATGTGTGACGACAGGCAGTCAGCCACGTGATGACGAGCGACACGCGCACATACAATATTATTAAATGAAAGCTCAGAGCTTTCGCAACGCTTTGTTTTTACCTAGGTCATCATGCGTGTTATTTGAAGTGATAGAAATGTCTTCGCAATGCGATAACCGGGTACATGTTTTGTTTTATTGCAAAGACGTTTCTATCATCTCGAAAAACACGCACGATGACCTACGAAAAACTCATAAACATGCATACTCAATCTAAACATACATATAATTATGCGATCGGTTCATCCAGTAACTCTGAGCTCCGACGAGGAGACCTAACACGGTCGAAACATCTTGCAGTCCGCAGATTGAGTACATACATATATCTCATACTAGTAACTCTAAACTCCCAGACAGGTACATGCTACTAGAAGTTATAATTACTACGTTATGGTCATAGGCTTTTTTTCTCTTATTTTAATTCCCACACATAACATGGGATTCAAACCCTCACATCGCCCTGCACCATTGAAAGCCCTACTGTAAAGTGAGAAACTTTCGATAAAGAATAAATTTCGCTATTTTCGCAATCAGCACACATCGCAAATATAAATTAATCGCAGCAAACTGCTCTGTACATTAATACTGTAAAAGCCATATTTATAACGAAGTGCTAATTCTAACGAGTTAACGAGGAGAAATCTGTCGTTAAAATATAAATCGTTATACAGAAATCAAATCAACTCTCAAATATAAGCCTCGAACGTACATTTCCCAACGAAGAGAACTCCAAGTCCAGGCGAAGAGGTGCAAGAAAAGGACTTGCAATGCTTCACTGTACTCTACAGTCGCGTGCCCAAGAACGTTGTTTCCAAGGGGTTAGCCTGGGACGTTCTTATTTTTTCAGCAATCTGGCTGCGTTCTTATAAGTTACTAGCAGCACCTGGCCGAACGTGGCATGCGGGTGAAGCAAGTACATGAACAGCACACGTACTCAGCACTTGGTGGTGGCTACACGATTCGCACGCTTTGCATGCTCAGTGCTTCTGTGGCTGCTTCCGCTAGCTACACGATTCGCACGCTTCGCGTGCTCAGTGCTTCTGCGGCTGCTAGCTACACTGTTCGCACGCTTCGCGTGCTCAGGGCAGCGCAGCTCCGCAGCGCTTCTGCGTGACACACACACACAGACACACGTCACAGGTGCCTCTTCTTTATAGTATATATAGCACGTTCTTAGAAACAGTGCATACTTGATCATATGTATCCCACAAGCTGCCAGAAAACCAACACCGCCGTTTTGTTTATGGGCGGTGGCGTTCTTAGAATTTCAGGCTGGACGTTCTTGGGCTCCACGTTCTTCAGCGCGGAACTCTACTGTATAAGTAAACTACATTGTATACTAGTCACACAATATACATGTGCACAATTGTAGTATAGAACACCGGTGCCAAGTGCACAATAAAATTTAATGATTTGCTGCACCTCGGAACGTTCGCATACGGGCAACAACGGCTTCACATGGCTTCACGGTTTCATACGACTGTACTCGTACCGTCTGTATGAGAAAAGCAAATGCCGTGGCTGGCTAAAGCCCCGGCACATGCTGGTGTAAAAGTCATTGTATTGCACATGATCATAATGAACGATGAAGAGATTAAAAATGTCTTGTGAAAATCAGTAAAAATACTAAACATGTACTAGTAGTACGTACACCAGACCAAACGTGTATCCGGGACGTCCCGTTGTTCTCAGCTACTCGAAGGAGTATTTAGCTCCGGCCAAAGTCCGAAGAAAGTACATGTACACACAAACTACTGGTTGCGTTGCTGGCATAACAAACGGCAACAAAATAATTGTGCAAATAGCTTCAACCACCTGATCACCTAGTACCTATCTGTGAAGTGTGATTGCTTGGACAAAACTTCGGCCCCGTTATGTATTGTTGAGTTTTGTAGCGAAAACAGTCGCTGCGTGGGCATAACCATAACAACAGGAGGAGAAACGTTGTAAAATATCAACTTTACCTCTTGTTTTCGAAAAATTGTGATGTGACTCATCGTGAGATGAAAAGAAACCACTGCGCATGCGCTCGTTCTCTTTCTTTGCCTTCTTGCTTTGTGCAGGATCTTCTGCAATCATGGTAAATTCTTTTATTGAATATCGCCCGAAAGAGGGTTCTAGCAGAGGACTGATGGCGATTATCTTGTATTTGGACGTGTTAATAGGCACTCCTCCTACCCGAGAAGTTTCAGTACGTGTTGCGTGTGTTGAACACCAACATCGATGGACGTCAAAAAGTGATGTTCGCACTCACATCCATCAAGGTTTGTCCCTTCACTCTCAATGAAAGCTTTAGAGTCCAGTGGAGGAGTTATGAATGACTCTGTTATGTGTGCAGGGTGTGGGTAGACGTTACAGCAACATCGTGTTGAAGAAGGCAGACATCGACCTGAACAAGCGTGCTGGTGAATTGTCCGAGGATGAGGTAAATTGTGAAATGACAATTTTTTTACTCAGATAATTATTGTCGAATTACATGTAGATATCGAAGGAAATTGATGGCTCGTAGTACTAGTATGAACTCCTTGAGCTAGAAAGACTTCAGCAGCAAATTCAGTGAATTGTCTTTTGAATTATTCCCAATAAATTGCCCAGGTCGAGAGAATTGTTGCAATTCTCCAAAACCCCCGTCAATACAAGATCCCTGATTGGTTCCTCAACAGACAGAAGGACATCAAGGACGGAAAGTTCTCCCAGGTTAGTGATGTACAAGCTGTTTATTTTCTTTCACTGTGCATCATGATTTATGCCTTTTGTGTTCGAATTTTTTATGCATGAACTGAGCAGTTATAAACAATCAGGGAATTGAAATCAATTATTTTCATGTAAGTTTTATTTACAAAAGATGTTGCGATATCGGCGGTGATTAGTGAAGAAAGTGGCTGCTTGGAACGTGCTTCCTGCCAACTGACTTGACTGGCTCACTTATTTGAGGGGAAATCGACTGTCACCACCAGAAGTCAACCAGGGACCCTCACGTAGAGCCTGCGATTCTCTACCACAAAGCTATGGTGTAGTCGTCATCCAAGCAGCGACCGTTCTACAATTTCTTCGAGCTTCGAAACTCACGCATCCTGTGAATCCACCCAGGCCAGTGGGACGCAGCCTGCCCTGTAACCCACACACATCATGTACGAACTAGCATGCGGGGAGCCCCGATACATAAATTGGGGTTAGGCTGCCGCCGCACTAGGTAAAATATATACGCATGTACGATAATGGGGCCTTAGTTGTAAACGGGACAAGTCTGAAGGAAATATTGTGTGTTATAGTGTTAAGGTGGCTGGGTCGGTACAACTTTTTAGGGGTCATTTTGACTGCCTTTTTGAGTTTATCGGCAAGGTGGAGATGAAATTTGAAAATGTTTTCTGGTGAATCTCTGAAGAAGAGCCTTCTCTACCTTCCTATAGTTTTATTTTTACTTTTGGACAAAATTTGAAAACGTTTTATGAAATGTCCGTGAAAATGCAGTCAAAAATTTCCCAAAAAGTAGGAGTCAGTTGTCCATATTATTATTTGCCTCTCCATGTTTGCCTCTCCACGTTTGCATCGGGGTGTGGTACTACAAGAATCAACAAATCGACAAAATACACATCCACACCTGGCATTCGCTCAGGCCGCCCAACGAGCCAGAAGAGAGTAAATACAAGAGAGAGCTAGAGAAGAGGCACAAACCAGCGGGGTCGATAGAAAAAAGGAGGCAAAGGACATGGAAGAAAGATATCAGATTGTCCATTCCGCTTACTTCATACATCATGTCATGTTCCACTTGGGCAGATTCGGGCATTCCTCTGTAAGATCCGGTGCGGAATAGCTGCCGTCACACTACTCTGTCCAGTGCCAGGTCCCTGTTACGTAATATATCTTCATCCGTCTGCCGCTTCATTCCCTTTGCTAGGTCCGTGTTTAGTGTTGTTGGTCTAGTGGAAGGCAGTCGACCACTTTGTTTTTCTCGCCCTTTGTTTGTTGGAAGTGAGATGTTATGGCCATTCATGCTGGGGACTCCTTGTCCAGTCGGCAGATATGACCGAGTAGTCGTATCGAGCGTCTCTTACTAGGATGGTCGGTGGTTGCGTCGCAGTTTTGCGGTTGAGATCGTTGCTGATTATTTGTGTGTAGCGGATACCCACAGCGTTTCTCAGGTGCCTCCGATAGGTCGAGTCCATATTTCTATCAATTTACTCCTAGTCCCGTGCGGTTTTACTAACATACACCTTCTTTATACACAGCAACAGGAGACCCCTACACTAGTCTACAGACATCAGTTGCATGCCTGAACAGTGTTAAATTTGTTTCTATTTAGCTGCTTGTTAACAAAAAAGATTAAATTTTGATTACGTGCATGTGTGAATAGTATAAACATCGTGTTTCATTTCCCCCATTGCGTGTGTAGATCATTTCCAACCAGCTTGAGCACAAGCTTCGTGAGGATTTGGAGCGCTTGAAGAAGATCAGAGCTCACCGTGGTCTCCGTCACTACTGGGGGTGAGTTTTCTACAAAGTACCAGCACTTGTACATTCAAACCTGATCGCCCACGTTTGTTTTTTATAGGTCTAGTATATAACCCTCCCCCCAGAGTGTGTAACTCTGCATATGGGGTCTCCGACATCACGTGTCTCAGGCTTGTTCGTACATACGAAGGATAGCCTGCGCGCAATCCGAATATCTGCCATGATTGTGTATACCTGCAGTGAGTTTCTGTCAGAGAGCGCTTTTTTATTACTCCGCTGCTCACTAAAACGGGCTGGAAACGTACAACTGCGACACTACACCGCGTGATATAACTTTTTGCCGTCGGCGTACCCCATAGAAAGGGTATTAGGAGTTATACTCTTGGTTCTAGGTATAAACTGAACCCTACTGAAGTGCTTGCTATACATTTGCTGCACCTGATTGTATTGTCACACTTGGAAACTGCTTTTGTGAACGCTGGCGTTGAGGTTTTTAGTAGGGATGAAGGCGTTTTATATAACGGAGTATATCAATTATTCTGTGCAAAGAGTCTTACAGAGTTTGGCTATTTCCCGCTGTTGTAGGCCAGGTAGGCAGTAGAGTCTAATTCTGTGTTGTTCAGTACTCTTGCAAGCAAAAAAACACCCCCCCCCCCCCCCCCCCCCCCGTATGCTGCAGCATGCAATGCTGCCCGCACAGTTTCAAGTTGACATCATGTTAGTTTGTACAGGATTAAATGGGGGTTTATCCAGCACACGTTCAGGATACGTGTACAGTGCTTGCATCATATACATTATGTCAACTAAAATTCTATCAGAACAGCACCCATAGTGGAGTCAATCTCTCTAGCCCCCTTTCCGAACAAACCAACCACCGCACTGTACTTTACAGTCCATTCAGAAAAAGATGGACTTCTAGCTTATGGCCATAAATTGGTCAAATGTGGAGTTTTTAGAATTTTTTTCTGCAATCCCCTATGCAATCCTCTATTTGTCCAAAAAGCAAGCCATAGCAAGAATAGGATTTCGGCCAGGTTTTGCACCAAGAGCACTGAATTGGGAAAATCCATCGAAATCCAGGCCGTTTGACCCTGCGTGCAACAGTGCATTGTACGGTTCGAACCCCAGTTCAGGTACCCTTTTTTAACCCTTTTCAAATTTCGCAGCACTGCACCGTGTACGATTAAATCTTGAAAATACGGGAGCTTGCCAGGGCCCATCTTTTTGTGAATGGACTGTAGTCAACTTGACTATGGGGTGCTGGTTTATGCTAGTGTTGCATACTTTCACCTGCACACAGACCTGGTCCTTGTCTGCATTAGTACTTGGCACTACTTGCACATTCGAAAATGTCTCAACCGAAATATTCCTTCTCCAAAAAAAATACATGTACTTCCAATTCTCCAACTTTAATGATTGTTACTTTATACACAATCATTAGAGTTGTGTGTATACGGCGAACAAACAGCCCCTTCCCCGTTAATTAAATGTGCGCATCCTGATCAGTTTCCGTGTCGAGATTCATTGGATCATGGTGTACAGACAATAACTCCATTAGAAGTAACGAGTGTAAAATGTTCACAATCTGAGGCATGCTTATTACCAATCCTAACTCTCATTTATGTTTTGTTTTGTTTTCAGTGTCCGTGTGCGTGGTCAACACACCAAGACTACTGGCCGCAAGGGTCGCACTGTTGGTGTGGCCAAGAAGAAGTAGATGTTTTGAAGATACGAGCAACATTAATACAAACCTGTGCTGATTGTTCCAATGCGTACGTGGTGTGTGTTGTCTGGGGTAATCCTTGTGCATGGCCTTTGGCTGTGGATCAACTGCCCACTGATTGAGAACCCTCCCTGTTCTCTACAGTCATGTTTTTTTTATTTCCGGGAACTGGAATTCTGTGACCAGAATTCACATCGCTCCTTTGGAGGTGCCCATACCGCCGTCTCTTCAAGAGCACCCACCCCTCCTCGTACAAATCTTGCACTCTTGCCTGCCGTTTGGCTTTAGATGCTCGAAGATCTTAAAAAGTAGTACAGTACTTCCCCGCATGTGCAGGCACAGTCCATTTCAAACTATAGACACACACACTTTGTGCATAAATTTTTCCAAATTGGGCGCCTGTTATCCAATCATTTAGATACTATTATGAGAGTAATTGTGGAGCGGACCTGAGCAATATTCTGAAGACTATTCTCAAAAAGCTCCAGCCAAATTTAAATATTTCAAAAACCCTACACGTCTATATAGCTTTGCAATGGACTGTACATGTGCCCTAAAATCCTGCCAGAGTACCCCTACCTCCGCAACCAAGAGTCCATAAACAAAGAGTATGCAACTGTGATCTCTTTTCTATGGGCCTGATGCGCGGCGCGCTGCCTTCATTACATCATTCAGCTGCAGTCCGCGGCCGCGCACTGCGGAAAATCAAACACCGCACTTTTCCTCTGGTTTGAAATGGACTAGAGTACGGAACTGGATTTCATGCGCCAAAATTTAGAGATTGGGTAGGTACTGGATCGAATCTAGCAAAACGGACGGGCTCGTACGAGAAATTGTGAGTTTGAATGCATGCTTTCAGAGCGTGATGAAGGCAAGTTACGTACAGTAGAGTCGCGCGCTGAAGAACGCGGAGCCCAAGAACGTCCAGCCTGAAATTCTAAGAACACCACAGCCTAAAGCTAAGAACGGCGGTGTTGGTTTTCTGGCAGCTTGTGGAATACATATGATCCAGTACGGATTGTTTCTAAGAACGTGCTATAAGAACGCAGCCAGATTGCAGAAAAAATAAGAACGTCCCAGGCTAACCCCTTGGAAACAACGTTCTTGGGCGCGCGACTCTACTGTAATGAAGGACGCGCACTGACCCATAACCACAGTTGCATACTCTTTTTTATGCACTCTTGCCGCAGCCATTGGAGTAGATCCGTTTTGCTACAAAAAAACATTTTTGCTCTGTGAACATGTTCGGGTAGAAGCCCAACCGCTTATATGTGCAGTAAAGGTTTGCCTTAAAACTAGTGGTGAAACGAATGTCAAAACCTACTAGTCGAATATTCTTCAGCTTAACGAACGAATGAACGAATATTCTTTTGGTAACACAGATTACATCACATGCCCTCCTCTCAGTCATTTGATGGATATTGTCAATACTAATATATTATTAGGTATGACAAACGGTAGTGCCACGTAAAATATACTGCCACATAAGGCTACTTCGAAGTTCATAAATGTTATGTGCAACATTGGCAGTCCAGTATGGACATACATGTGCATGCATGCAGTACAAAGTCACAGGCAGGCTGTACGCACTGCACTGTACCATGTTCGGCGTCCATGTATGTGCATGCACTGCATTCGAAGTGACGTAACGAATACTCGAATGTGACTTAACGAATATTCGAATGTGACAAACCGAACGAATGTTCAAATATTCGAATATTCGTTTCACCACTACTTAAAACAGCAGTGTTTAATATCACAATGCTCAGCAGTATATCTAATCCAGCTCCCAGGTGTTTCACCAATAGTGTTCACATATAAGCGCATGCACTTTAATATAATTGAGGGATGCGCTTCAGATCTGTCCCTTTGGAAAACGCGGCGAAGAATTCAAAATTCCGCGGTGGAAAAAGGGGCGTTTTCTGCGGTAAAATCAAAAATCTGCGGCACTTTCTGCAAGTTTTTTCACCCTCCTCGTAGAGGATATGATAACTAGTCGCATGAAGGAGCACTTTCATACTATCCTTTGCAGTCACAAACTGAATAAGAGTGAAGAATCTTGGCCATTGGAGAGACCTGCACTGGCAAGAGAAATGTGCTCAAACAGATCGCAAAGTCGTTTTTCTGCTGCTTTCTGAGTAGTAATTTTAGTAATTTACCCTAAAAAATTCAGATTCCGCGGGCAAAAGTGTGGATTCCGTGATTTCCGCGGATGATGGCAACTTCTGCGAAATTTGCCGCGGCCGCGGAATCTCGTTTTTCCAAAGGGACAGGCTTCTGTCCGGACATAAGCATATCTTTACTTATATAAAGAAGAGGCACCTGTGACGTGTGTCTGTGTGTGTGTGTGTGTGTCACGCTCCTTATAAAGAAGAGGCACCTGTGACGTGTGTGTTTGTGTCACGCTGAAGCGCTGCGGGGCAGCGCTGCCCTGAGCACGCAAAGCGTGCGAACAGTGTAGCACAGTGTAGCTAGCGGCCGCAGAAGCACGGAGCACGCGAAGCGTGCGAATCATGTAGCCACCTAGCCTAGGCCATAGGTAGCACTAGCAGCCGCACAAGCGCTGCGGACCACGTGAACCGTTAACGTTCTCTGCAAATAGAAACATCTGCAACAAAAGGATACAAAAGATCTGCACTGACTGCACTCTGCATCTGATCTGCAGTGAAGAGCGCATCGCACTTTTGTTCGTAAGTAAATTAAAATTAATTAACTTATGAATTTTTTGAGCCGCTTCATCCGCCACCAGGTAATGGACAACCCTGACCAGCCTCCCGAAGGCGTAACAGACGTCCCTCCTTCTCCTTCCAACGATGAAGAACCTCCCTCACCAGGACTTCAGCGGTCTGGCCACCACCACGTGCTGAGCACGTGTGCTGTTCATGTAGTAACTTGCTTCACCCGCATGCCACATTCGGCCAGGCAACGCTGGCCGGTGGTGCTGCTAGTGCGCTTATATGTTCGGAAGTACGGTAGCATTTCAGACTGGACGTTCTTCTTTTTTTTTTACTTGGGGTCAACGTTATTCAGCGCGCGACTACTGTAAGAGGATACAATCATTATCACTTCCCTGACGAGAAGTCAGGGAGGGGTGCTTGGGAGAGACAGGGCGCTCTGGCGGGATTTTACGGTAAATGTGCCGTACCGGTACCTCTACCAACTTCTACCGACGTGACAAACCTGCTGTCCCCTGTGAATTCCGCGGATTGAAGAATTTCCGCAGAAAGTCCCGCGGAATATTGCAAAAAAGAGAGAAAAACTGCTTTTTCTGGAGACTTGATGTATTTCACAGCCAAACCAACCTGCTTGTGACTTTCAAAATCAACTTGCACAGTACACTGGGGAGCTTTCCATTTTCTTGGACCAAGAATTCGCATAATTTTGGTTAAGAATTTACATGTATAGGGACAACAAACTTCAGTGGGGTTGCGGAAATTCAATCTGTTTTTACGCTCTTTCCCTTGCATAATTGCCGCAGAATTCGGAAGGGTTTGCAGAATTCTGCACGGAATTTCTGATATTCTGCCGCGTAATTCACTGCGGACAGATTATGAAGTCAAATTGAATACTAGTACAGTCAGACCTCGCATAACCGCACACATCCGTTTTCCACAAAATAATCCGGATAATCAAACACACATACTGTATGTATGCAAGGCATATGCTGTAAATCGGTGACCAACGATTTTCTTCCGGATAAGCGAGGTCTGACTGAAGAAGTAAAGAGAAGTGCAACGCAGAGCTGAAGGTAGATGATCTACTCTTTTGAGTAGAAAAAAAGGAACACATATACCGAAGTAGTTGCTACCCCAGCCTGTAGGTCAAAAATGAACACCCTTTGGCCTTAGTACCAGGGAGTAGTACAATACTGTATATTGTACTACTCCCTGCTTAGTACTGCCGTAGTGTCTTGTATCAGTCCTGGTTTTAGTGTTGACATACATGTACATAGAACCACCTGTCTCTTATAGAAGCTTGTCTCGTATAGAAATCTGCAACATAATGTATCCCAAAGAGTCATATGCCATGCCGCGGCTTTTATACACGACTTTACAGTATCACTATCAGGATTTTGCACATTTTTCTGCTGTTTGACATCATCCATATACAGGTCGTCCCTTAATACGAGTCCGGTTAGTACATAAACCCCGTTAGTACATAAGAAATCTCAAGTCCCGGACGAAACGTGGTCACTTCCATACAAATTTTGTCGGTTAGTACATAATTCGTTAGTACCGTGATAAACCCCGTTAGTACATAACATTTCTCCGTACCCGCATGCCACCTACCTCAATGGTACATAATTTTTTGGTCTCTTGGCCTTCCAGTGTAGGCACATTGTGTTCTAGTTTCTACTTGTGGACGAAATTAGCTCAGACATCAGAGCGCACATCACAAACCGACAAAGCTCTGTTTTTTCCCGAGTGACTGTACAGGCGCGGCTGGGCATGTATCATGTAAACTGTAGAATCTTCGCTAAATGTGACCGTTATAACATAATTTTTATGTTATATCGAGGGAATCAAGAATATCTCGCTGCCTAGTCCTAGGGCGCGTTTGGTTGGTACGAACTAGAACAGGATTCACCAGAACAGCGCGTTTGGTTGGGACTGCACCTGTTCTGGGTCGGCCAGAACATGTTCTGCTTGCTCCGGCCTCGAGGCCGGAGCAGACCGAGCAGTTTCACTTTTTCACAGTGAAACCTGGTGGGAACATCGATTTTGGTCCCAAATGATCACGTGCATACGCTTTTGGGTTGGACTCGTTGTACCGTACAAAGTGACCATGGTGACCATACACAGTTTTGAAGGACGCACCCGGTTTGGCACATTTTTCCACAAAAATGTGCTCTGTTTCTGGAGTACCGTTTGGTTGGCATGAGGCTGCTCCATGTGCACCAGCTGTTCGATCCTGTTCTAGATCGTACCAACCAAACGCACCCCTAGTCATGGTAGCAAGAAACACTCAGAAAAGTTGAAAAAAGTGAAAAATTCTGGTACACAAGCAAGTTATGTACACTTTCGTTT